CTGGTAGTTTCAAACTGCTGACCCTGAGGTTCACAGCCCGATTTGTAACCATCATAGAATGTTTCTTTTATCAAAACCTTTTCTTAACTTTTTACAACAGTGGTGTCATACAATATTTGTCTTTTTGTGATTGACAAATATCTGTTACTGTTACATGCCATCAAGCTGTTACCGACTAAATAGCGACCCTATGCACAGTAGAATGAAACACTGCCCAGTCCTGTGCCAACCTCACAATTGTTGCTGTATCTAATATCTAGAGTGGTCATTTCTATGGGCTGCTTGTTTCAGTTTTCCCTGAGTCTTGTCTTTACTACACTTGATGTTAATAAAAATGGTACCCTTTTCTACTGATGTCACTAGGGAGGTACAAGGGTACTGCACTGGGTGACTGTCAATCAGAGTAACACCAAAATTGCTGTCTATAAACTTCATGCACAATTTAGCAGAAATTTATTATTTTTATAAAAATAACTCTGTAGTTTGTTATATATAGAGAGATAGCTTATTGTTACGTGCCATTGAGTTGGTTCTGTATCCTACTGACCCTGCTTAGGGTTTCCAAGGAGCAGCTGGTGAGTTTGAACCACCAACCTTGCTGTTCAAACTGACCTTGCAGTCTAGCACATTAATCCGCAGCGCCACACCAGCTCTCTGCAGATAGCTTACATGTATCTATATACCTTTAATGCTACAGCTCGATACTAATTTACTTTTTGAACCTTCTAATTTGCTCCATTCAATGCTGTCATCAGTATTGCCCAATTACAATGACTGTTTGAATTACATGGTTTTGTCTTTACTTGCGACAAGCAAGCACTGTTGTTTTCCTTGCTGTCTGTGTTATTACAGTCCCCGGTTTTACCAAATTTTCTGGTGTTTTAGCTTCAATATTGTGGTAATCAGTATTTGAGAGACTGGATCAGTAACTTTTTTGAGAATGAAATAGTCATTTAAAAAGAAAGAACAAAAAGTCTTCCACTCAGTTACTAATAACTAATTATGTACTTCAATGTAGAAAGATTTTATAAAACAATCCTTTAGTATTCATATAATCTAAAGAAATAACATTTAAGCAGTTTACAACTACATGCTGTTCTATGCTTAAAATTGATACTGAACATTATGAGGGAGTCTGTATGGAGGCATTTCCTGGAGGGTGTGGGAATGACACCAGGAATGATAACAGTGTTTTCCCTGCTCCACCAGGGGCTTAATTTCCCATTACAGGCTGTCCCGGGTTATGAACATCTGACGTAAGGACAACTTATACTTGCCCTGTGTTGTTGTTGTTGTTAAGTGCTGTTGAGTCAGTTCTGACTCATAGTGCCGCTATCTAGGGTTTCTGAGGAATGGCTGGTGAGCTTGAACCACTGACCTTGCAGTTCAAATTGACTTTTTGGTCCAGTGCTTATACTACAGCACTACATCAAGGGTCCTTGCCCTTTAATGTTGTGTGAATTTGTGATCACTTTGAAAGGATTGAACCAATCTTTACTCACATCAAATTCTTCATTACAATTACTTTGATTTGATGCAGGTGCAGCTTTTAGATCATTAAAAAGGCTTCAACCTTTTCTTGCACTAAAGTAAAGCTAAATAGGAACCTTATACACCTGTTCTGACTTACCTTCAAATTCTTAAAGATACACTGAGGTACGGATCTCGTTTGTAACCCTGGGAACCTTCACTGGTTCCTTGTAGGAAGTGATCTTGAATCCAGTTTTGTTCTTGGGGGAACCCATAGAGCTGCTCTTGTATGCCCAGTCCTCCACCAACTCCTTCCTCAGATACACACAGTCACACTTCCATCCTTTTATCTGTCAGATTTGCTGCCCCTAAAAAATTGAGACGCTTGATGTTGTTAGAAGCTTGCAGTTGGGTTTTGGACCAATTTTCTTCCCGGCGGGAGGAGGCAGGTGCCCACTGATGTTAATTGCCTCTTCCTTTTGCATTTGATTAACTTTTTTAGACTGAATACATGACTGTTTTTGTTAATTTGCTAAATGTTCATGTGTCTTTTGGTTTCGAATCAACAATGGAGGAAGAATTGACTTGTATGTCTGGTGATGTGTTGACTCAGACTAAAAACTGTGTTGTTTTGTATTCAATGGGTAGGCAAGTAGTACCACTTTATTAGGTCTGTATGTGCTGATTCCTGGTTTATGTTTTGAGTGTATGAGATGGCAAGTCATACAGGCCTAGTTTATGCTAGGAAACGATACTTGACAATTTTAATACTTTTTAGTTTTTGAATTTAATAGAATTTTAGACTTACAGGAGTTTCAAAAGTAGTACAGAGACTTCCTAAGTAATCTTTACCAAGTGTCTCCTTATGTTAACATCTTACGGAACAGTTACTGAAACCAGAAATTAACATCGGGACAATACCATTACAGCACAAACTTTAATTGGATTTTCCCACTTTTTCTAGTTAAGTCTTTCTGTCACAGCGTAAATCCAGAATCCATATTGTATTTCGTTGTCATGTCATCTTAGTCTCCTCCAAACTGTGGGAGTTTATCTAGTCTATAATGTCACCTGTGAAGAGTAGTCAGTATGTATTTTGTAGTATCTATCCCTTCATCTGATGTTTTCTCATGATTATAATGTTAGGATGATTTTTTAGATTACTTCATCAGAGGCTATGTACCTTTCTCAGCACATCATATCAGGAAGTACATAATATCCATGTGTCAGCATCAGCTAACATTTTTCCTGCCCTAGTACTGGAGTCAAAGGAGCTCTGGTGGCATAGTGCTGGTAACCACAAAGTCAGCAGTTAGACTCCACCAACTGCTCTGTGGGAGAAAAAGGAGGGTTTCTGCTCCTAGAATGATTTACAGCCTCAGCAACGCTAGACAGGATCACTATGAGTCAGAACCGATTCAGTGACACACAGCAGTAGCAGTCCTGTGTCAACTGCTCGCCAAGAGGTAATCATAGCTGCAAGGTATAAGGTTTAGCTCACTGGTTCCCTATAGATGTTCAATTATTTCTGCACCACTACCGTTTCTCCTTTATACAAAATGAATTGGGTGTGTTTTTGTAGATCTACTTCTGAGTCTTATATATCTTCCCATTAATCTATGTATCAATTCCTTCCCCAGTACCACATTCTTTTAATTACTTTAGCTGTATAGTAAGCCTTAACATCAAGAAGTATAATTCCCTTCATCTCATTTTTCTTTTTAAAAATTGTTTGGGGGCATTCCAGGACTCTTTCTCTTTCCATATAATCTTAGAATTATCTTGTCTATGCTTTCAGAAACCTTGGTAAGATTTTGATAGGAATTGTATTAAGCCTATAGACAAATCTAGGGATAATAACATCTTTATTATGTTGAGATTTCCTGTTCATGAATCTGGTATTCTCTCCAAGAATTTATGTCTTTTTTGATTTCTTTAATCAGCATTTTGCAATTTTCATCATATATAACCTATATATTTTGTTAGATTAATCCCTAAGGGTTGTGGGCTCGATCCCCACATTGAGCATGTGGTTTGTTTGAAGTCCTAGTGTGGCACTATAGGATAAGTATTGGACTGCTAACAGCAAGGTCGGTGGTTCAAATCTACCACTCACTCCTTGGAAACCATATTCAGGGTTGCTATGAGATGAAACCAACGCAACAGCACTTAGAAACAACAACAATCCCTACGTATTTCATTTGTTGGGAAGCAATTATAAATGGTATTGTGTCTTTGCTTTTGATTTCCACTTGTTCATTGTTGGTATGACAAGCTATGGACAACATTGTGAAGTATGAGTATTATGGAACACTTAATTGTGCTTATGAGGAGTTTGTACATGGACCAAGAGGCAGTTGTTCAAACAGAACATGAGAACACTGAATGGTTTAAATTAAGAAAGGTGTATGACAGGGTTGTGTTCTTT